AGGTGGCAGAGTTACACTTATTTCCTCTCAACATCAAGACTACCTAAAAATTATCAGATTTCCTTGAGGAGATAAGGCCGCATGAAGGTAGTCATTTACTCAGGTGGAATATTAATTCCCATCATAAAAATTTAGGTCAGCTTGGCTCGGGCAGTATAGAGTATAAAAATCAAGCTTAAATCTCCAAGAGATCATGAAGAACTCCTCTTGATCCTCTTCTCTGCGGAACTTTATTATAGTAAGTACAGTTTGGGATGAGTAAACCCGACAAATTACAGGGCCTAAAGTCACCATCCTTGGATATTTACTACCGAATTGGCTTGAGGGATTGTAAGTTCTTTATATTTACATATGTGAAGCAACGCCTATTCCCACACATTTCTGTTTGCTTCTTTATTTTGAATACAGCAATGTGTTTCCACTGATATATAAACATACTTATATAGGGGGAAAGAAAAATATGAAGTAGATAAACAGTAAAAGCTGCATACGGATATATCATCTTTTGCACTGTTGGATCTTCCATCATTTTCTCCACAGCTTCCACTGATAAGGTTTTGCCAGATTTTCCTAATAGATGAGAATATCAAAGATTTTATTGAACTTTTTGGTAATAAATAAACTGCAGTAGTACACATTCAATCATGAATGACCTTGCAGCACAAAAACAATAAGATTGAAGAAATAACCAACGAAAAATTATGAGACAGAAATATCAAATAATGGGCTTTAAGTAAGTCAAAAATTTCTTAAACTCTTATTTTTCAAGACTGGGTTTTAAGTAAGTCAGAAATATCAAATAGAATTAACGGAAGAAATATTATCATTTATTGTTCTCAACTTACGGCTGAATTGTGATCCCTCTGAACCGTTAAATGCCTGCTTTGAAGCAGCTCCATTCTGTGGAAACTTCACAAATAAATCAGAGTAAATTGCCATATCAACGCTAGCCACCATAGCAAAAAAAAAAAGGAACAAACTTACTTCCACAGGAAGCTGAGCACTCTTTGAAACATCGGTGTCTGTGGCTTCTTCTTTGAATGGACTCTTTTGGTCAGTTTCTTCAGGAGAAACGTCTACAAAAGCTGTGAAAAGAAGTTTCATGAATTTTCCTCCGATCTTGAAAGTCAGAAATTGAAGATATTATAAATCCTTCAGAGTTGTGTTACCAAAATGTCATAAAGTTAGATTAATATCTTATAAAGTTAGTTGAGAAGCACATAGACTGGCTTGAGCACTTACAATTTGAATATATGAGCATATATTCACAATACTTGTACTGTGCAGTATGTAGGTAGGTGCAAAGAAATGAAATTATGCCATATAACCTGTTTCACCAGATCTTACAAAGCCTGTTCCAAATAAATTGAAGCCTAGACATCGAGGACCTATTTATCTAGGCATACTACTAAGCAAAGTGGTGGGATGTTGCACCTAGAGAGATAAAATGAAATTTTGTCAACTTGAGTACAACTTAATAGGTTAAGGTATTATGTTATCAACCAAAAGTTGGAGGTTCGAATCCCCACCCTCACGTGTGGTTGAACTAAAAAAAAAGAGGATACGGAAGAATTTCAAAATTTCTTCAAAGGCATCTAATAAATAAACAAATATATATCCATGCATACATAAATACATATTGTCCGATATCCATGACAACAAGGCAATGAAAGTATTTGAACCAAAACGGCTAGTAATTTCACTAATAAATGCAGGTATCCATAAAGGGCACTTCAACAACTAATCCTGAAGGTTACGGAAGGTTCACACCCCAATACCAAGATATAAAACCTAGATGATTCCTAGTAAAGCTTATCAACAGAACTAAAATGTAAACCTCGACATTTGTATCCCATATGTTCAAGCCTTCAGTCAAGAGGGTTGTCACTTGGAAGCACAAAAATGAAATCACAATCAATAAATTCAGAAGAACCAACATATTGAAATAATATAATAGGAAGAGGATCCTTAGATACCAAACTTCTTTGCTTCCATGTTCTCTGTCTCACTTTTGACATTAGTAACTGGCTCGTCTTCAACTTTTGTTGCAGTTACATCAATTGATGCAGCAGTTTCAGAAACAGATGGAGAAACTGCCGTTCCAGTCGCAAATGTTGGAGGTACTGGAAAAGGTGATCCAAATGGTTGTGTAGAATTACTCATCGGGGTGTTTTGAGAATTCATTTGAGACATCATCGTCTTGAAAGCTTGTTGCATTGCATATTTCTGGAATGCAATTACAATAAAATATATAGGAACAAAAGAAACACAGACCGGTCAAGGTTAGTACTGATCAAAGTTGTAACTTATATGCAAGAAGAAAATGGAAGAACGGATCTTATAGGATCGAAAGACCCATGGAAATGTAGAAGGGCAAAGGAAAGAAAATGTACTGGAAAAGATTCTGCTTTGGGAGGAGTACATAGAAACATTATTATGTACTAGAACGCAAATCCTTTTACAAGAGAAACTGAACTTTTTATCGGCCACCAATCGCTAAAGCTTACAAAAGAAAACGTGCAGAAGGTGGGGATCAATTTATTAATGAAAGAACTTTTGTTATTCACCACCTTTTTCCGACAACAGAAGTGCAGAAAGTTCTGTATAAATGAATGATACAACTTTTCCAATGGTCAACAACTCCATGGACAATAAACTAGTATCGTGTAGAACCCCAAGCATAGAGAATAACATTTCAGAAGAATATCTGTGCAACTTCAAGCAATAAGAGAGCTATGGAAGACTGACTCTAGCAGGAAAAACAGCATATATAAGGCACAATCATAATCCCATACCTTGTAGAAGAAAACTCACCTTTAAATAAGAAGCCACCTGCAATTTTTTTTTTTTTTTACAAATTGTTAAAAGAACATTCGACCTAAAAGAATGTTGCTAAATTCAATAACATCTACATTCGAAAAATATATAGTTCAGACATACAGGATTCGTTCTCACTCACCCATGTAAATAATGCTGAAAGCCCAACACCAACGCCAACCCAAAAGAGAGGCGACCCTCTAAAAAAGATGACAACCATAGTGGTGAAGATTTATAAAAATAATAAAAAAAACAGAGCAAACCTGCCAGGTGAATCTAAGGTACTGAACTTAGTTCATGACATATCCATTCAATCAAATCCGTGTCTTATGAGATTAAAAAAAAAAAAAAAAAATCGTAGAACTGAATTCCAATAACCTACAATAACAACGAAAGATAAGGCAACGAAAATTTACACATATGAGGAGGGAGGAGGAACAGATACTGATGGAACACCAACAGAAGACGATTCATTGCTAGTAGTCGAAGAAGAAACACTTGCAAACCGTTCAGCCACTGCTTTTCACGACAGTAAACAAAATAGAGAACAATCAAATAGGTAGTGAAGATTAAAAGTGACGTTCAAACATCATTTTCAACGGAGAATTCGAATATTACCGACGATACGGTGGTTGGATCGACGATTAACAGCAGAAGCAAGAATTCTGGGAGGATACTTAATCCTGGACCTTGCCAAGCGCCTGCTCCCACATAATTGATTGGTTCTAGTGGGAGTGGATATAGAAGAAGTAGAAGAGTATCCGAGGAAAACAAATTTGGGTGAAGATGTGAGTGCCAAATTGAGCCTATCCATTGATTTGTTTTTCCGTTTGCTGGAATGATAAACAGTGAATGATTGAAGAAGAAGAAGAAGAAGAAGAAGAAGATAGTCTTGGAACCCTCGAAAAGCTTTCGGTTTAGTTCAGAGAGTGAAAACCGAGCTACCTTTCTGGGGACAGATCACTGCTGGCCTTGATTTGATTCAGTGGTGCTGATCATCTGCCCGTGGGCTTATGTTAAATCTGTGTGTTTTTTTTTTTATATATATATATATTTTTTTTCCAGCTTTTTAATGTTTTATATTTATTTTTTAATGGTAATTTTGAATTTTATCTCAAATATATATATATAAGAACAAAAAATAATATACTTTATCAAGAAAGATTTCAAAATATTACCTTGAACCTTAATTTTGAGTTCAATTAATTTAAAATTATTATGATGAGTAAATTTTAATAGTAACAAAAAAAAAAAAAAAAAAAAAAAAAAAAAAAAAAAAAAAAAAAAAAAAAA